ATTATTGTTTCTTCCTATTTGCTTGTTAATAACTATCACTTTTTAGATCAAACTGTCCATAAATAACATGGAAATTAGTTTTCCTCACCAAATGTACATTAATGGCAAATTTGTGGAAAGTGAGTCTGGAAATACCATCGATACGATTAATCCAACCAATGAAAAAGTGATCTGCTCGATTCCGCAGGTAACAACTCAGCTGGTAAAATACAAAAGCATTTGGCAAAATAAGCAGTATGTTAGGCTGCAAGATATTGTTTTAATTGCTTCGAAACCTGTTGGAAATAATTTATTTCAAAGTAAAAAATATCTTCTGCATAAATCCCTGTGAAAAGAAGCTCTTTTGTGCGTTTTTGCTGTGTAGCGCTACAACTCTGCTGCATTGAGCAATGCAGGCTGGAACGCACCGGCCGCGCGAAGAGAGCATGCGTTTTGGCACCATTTCGTACTGTATCAAGATCGCAAGGAATCACAATAAATAAAATTTATAAAATACTGGCCTTCAAAGTTTTAGAAGTTAATTGTGCAGCTACGTGGCATGTCAGTTGTTCATGTCGGCTTCAGTGACGCGACAAATGGAAATTTGCTGGTGCGTGAAAAAGGCCCCACTGGAAGGGTTGAATTTGAAATCTTTTAGTCGCATTTGAGGAAACTTTCTTTTAAAATGCCGGCTTTCCAACTTTTCTCGTTCCCGAACTAGCAGCTTTCCCACTAAAACTTTCACGTGTCCGTACGTAAAACGCGGCGGTTCTAAAAAGTTGAATTTGAATTCTTTTGGTCGTACATGAGCAGGGAACATTTCCTTAAAATTTTGGGTATGCAGGAGAAAGAGCGTCGGTTGGGATGAAGTTGTTGCATTATAGGGCTGCATGTACCTCCAGATGCATGATTACCAGTTTCTGCATGAAGCCTGATCGTTTCTTCGGTAAATGCTCGCTTTTTGAAAAAAATGCAGATTTCCAGATCCTTAACAAAGGCTGGAACGCACCAGGCGAGCCGGTGCGATCATGCGTTTTTGCATCAAAACTAAAG